TTATTTTACAGACTTTATCTGATAGTATACTTATATGAAATATTAAAATAAGCTATATACCCTAAAGGTAAGAAGACGTTTCTTTATACATTATATTTTTTAGTTGATATTGCCTATTATTAAGTGGTCTAAGCTGGGTTAGGTTGCATATGGTACATTTTTACAATCACACAATCTGAACATGGTATAATTTCTCTACAGAGGATTTGGATAAACTAGGGGACTGGGCAGGCAGGTGGCAGATGAGATTAAACACAAATTTATTGATTTATTACTGGCATTTAAAAAGTGCCAACATATTCCATAGCGCTGTACAATTAGGGGAGAACGTACAATATACCCAGACCAATACATAAAGTAAAGGGGGCCCTGCTGGTGAGCTGAGGTCTAGCCATTAAAGCTCTTTTATACAAATTGCTTAGTTAGATGGCTTGTGAATTTACAAGTTACGTATTTTGGAAAAAGGTACTTTGGAACAATCCACTTATAGATTAAATAAGATTGAGGCAGGGATAACATTAAATGAAAAGGACTTGGGAACAATTGTAGATAGCAAACTAGGCTTACGATCTGCCATTGCAAAAAGCTAGTAAGGTGTTTTTGTGTATAAAAAGGTGTATTGAGTCATGTGATCAAAATATAATTTTGCCTCTTTATAAATGGTAAGAGCCCATCTTTAATATGCAGTGCAATCCTGGGTACCGTTTTAGAAGGATATTGAAGAACTAGAGAAATTGTAGATGCGAGCTACAAAATTAATAAGAGGTATGGAAAACATTAGTTATGAAGAAAGGCTAGAAAAACTGGATTTGTTTTCTTTAGAATAAAAATGTGTCTCAGACGGGATATGATAGCACTATACAAATATATACAGGGTCAGTAAATAACCGCTATGGGATAACCTGTTCATTAGCAGAAATATACAACAGAAAAGAGCTCACCCATTGAGACTGGAAGAAAGGAGTTTTCACTTACAGCAGATGAAAAGATTCTTTACAGTAAGAACAATAACGATATGGCATTTATTTATACCCAAAGAGGTTATCTGATCAGATAATATAGATGATTTTAAAGAAAGGTCTAGATGTTTTTTGCAAAGGGATATTAGAGCTAATAATTAATATGTGACTAAACAGATTGTTGATCCAAGGAGAAATCTAATTGCCATTATGGAGTCAAGAATAATTTTTTCCTCCTTTTTCAGGTATGATTGGAAATGTCTACAAATGTTTTTTGTTGTTGTTGTTGCTTTCTTTTGGACCAGCAGCATACAGGGATGGGCTCTAAAGGTTGAATTTGATGGACTTGAGTCTTTTTTCAACCGAGACAACTATGTAACTATGTAACACAAAGATGCATACATTCTCGCACACACACTGTTGCAATATTATGTGTCATGGCTTCATACATTATTTTTCAGCTCCATCCCACTGGAGTAACATAACAAGGTGCTGTTGGTATATAGATACAGTATTGTAGTAATGACTGGGTATAACCATGGTTGATACAGGCTGTTTAGGCCGGCAGACCATAATGGTTCTGTTGGAGCTGGGATCTATTTGTTGGACGTAATAAGCAGGTAAAGGAAATGGAATTCTGAGAAGCTGATTAGCAGCTGACAAACGTCTTTTCTACCTTTTAAAGAGCAACTGTCATTTCTCTGAAAGTAACAGGTTCGCCGCCATTCATCCCAGTAAATGCCATTGAAGAGATTATTGGGTACTAGCAGGGCCGGCGTTACCTGTTAGGTGGGCTAGGCAGCCGCCTAGGGCGCCCCTTGGGAAGGGGCGCCGCCAGGAGCGCCGGCCCCCCTCATGCTGCAGCCGCCCGAGCGCTCTGTAGAGAGCCTCAGGCAGCTGCAGCTTTGCCCGGGCTGGTGCGTCCATGAGGGCGGACCGCACCGCCCGGGCGCAGCCTGAGGAGAGGGGCTGACAGGAGGGAAGCGTTCAGCGCTCAGCGCTCCCTCCTGTCACTCCCTCACTGTAGCGTGACCGAGCTCTGTATGGTCCGCGGGTACAGGGAGCATCTGTCTCCCATACCCGGCCGGACTAAAACTGAGTGTGCACTTCCTTTTAGTCCGGCCGGGTACAGGAAACAAAAGCTCCCTGTACCCGTGGACCATACAGAGCTCGGCCACGCTACAACAGTGGTGGGTGGGGGGGAGAGAAGGAAATTGGAGGGGGGGGGAGAAGGAAGGGACTGGAGAGGGGGGAGAGAGAAGGAAATTGGAGATTGGAGAGGGGGGGAGAAGAAGGAAATTGGAGAGGGGAGAGAGGAAATTGGGGGGGAAATTGACGGAGGGAGGGGGAGAAGGAAATTGACGAGGGGGGGGAGATTGACATCCATCACACACACACAATCACACACAATGCATTACACACACAGACACACATACACAAGCAATGCATCCCTTACACACACAGAAACACACAATGCATTCATTACACACACTCAATGCACCCCTCAGGACATCCCCTGCACACTCCACCCCCTGTGAATAAAAACTCATTGGTGGAACATGAAGGTGGACCCTGGGACCCAGACCTTGAGCTGTATAAAGGGCCCCTCAAAAATGGAGCTGCTTGCCGTTCTCCCAGAACATTGATTTTTGTGACCACAGTTACAAACCGCCTCCAGAAAGCCTGTTCTGCACCATACCAGTGGAGCCAGACTGCAGCTAGAGCCCCTCTTCATCCTCATCTGGTTGTAAGTAGGCAATCTAGTATATTATTCGTGGCACTAATCTCTAATTTACCTCACATTAAAGGGACACTATAGTCCCCAGAACCACTGCAGCTTAATGTAGTGGTTCTGGTGTCTATAGCCTGTCCCTGCAGGCCTTTTAATGTAAACACGGCGGCACTGCAGCATTGGCGTTAGTTAACATGGCAGATCATATGGGTAGGGCATTGTGATGTCACATGGGTAGGGGGGGGCGCAAACTTTACTTTTGCCTAGGGCGGCAAAAATCCTTGCACCGGCCCTGGGTACTAGTTACCGATACTCAAATATCGGTAGGAGGAGGTAAGTAAAAAACAAATTTACCTGTTCAGCACTTTTATGTGTGAATGATTTTCTTGCCCTAGAATGCTTAAAAGAACACTTTAGAGTTAGGAATACAAATGTGTATTCCTAATGCTATAGTTCCCACCCCTCAACTATAGGGAGTAAAAAAGATAGACTACTTACAGCATTAGTCTCTGCGCTGCCTCCTTGGCTGGGATCTTCAAAATCAACGATCTCAGCCAATCCAATGCTTTCCAATATGAAAGTACTGGCTGGCAATTAAGCATGCGCAGCAAAATGCAGCACGTAGGTGTGTGCACGCGGTGTGCCTGGGCACACCCTAATCAAACCTCAAAATTGAGGCTCCGTGCCGCACTGCAATGCCGATGCAAAAATCTGAATCCCCTGCCTGTGGCTCTGGCCCTGCCTGTGGCTGGGGACTCGGATTTTTCACATCACCTGCTGTCTCCCTGCAGTCAGCCAGAACAGAGCAGCCAGGGAAGTCGGTCGGCCCCATCTGATGATGTCAGGAGGAGGGGGCATGACTTCCGCTGCTCTTCTACAGACCCCCCCCAGCAATCCGCAATCTGTTGGGGAGTCTGGGAGAAGAGCAGAGTAAGTCTCGCCCTTTCCTCCTGACAGCATCAGGAGAGGCCGGCCGACTTCCCTGGCTGCTCTGTGCTGATTGCAGGCTTCTGCCCCAGGCTCCTGTCCACCCCTCCCTGGCCTAAGGTAAGACTCAGGTATGGGGGGGGGATTGTCAGCCCCTGCCCCCCTCTATAGCCCCTGCCCACCCCTTTTCTAGCCCTTACCCCCTCTAGAGCCCCTGTTCCAATTTCTATAGCCCCTGTGCCCCCTTTAACAGCCCCTGCACACCCTTTCTGTAGCCCCTTTTACAGCCTAGGGCAGCACAAAACCAGGATACACCACTGACTAGTGGCGTTTAAACCCTGCAATGAAAACACTACCGTACTGCAGAACGGCAATGTTTTTACTTGCATGGTAAAAACGAGGTGGGGACGTTGCATCTTTAACAGAAATACCTCCAAGAGGTAATGGATATAAGCATTGAAGGTCACTAGTAAAAGACTATGGAGTCTAGAAATAATGTGAAACTGGGACATCCACAGGAAAATAACCTTCGCAGGCCAGCAGGTTTATATAGTATATGAAAAGGATTATAAAGACTTTCCAGTCCCCTAAAATGGTTAGCTGCATGTCCCTGCAGTCTGATTTTACGAAAATGCCGATTTCAAGAGAAATTGGACATTTTAGAAAATATCCCAATAACACCTCCCATATGTCAAGCAGACAGCCAGGAGGATTTCCTGTCTCCCTTCCTTTGAACTGGAGTTCAAAGTGGAAGCGAATGCTTCTCTGAGGGAAGTGTTGGATTGGCAGATCACGATGATCGCCGTACACGCCGAGTCTTGTATCACAATGCTTCCGTATTAGAAGCATCTGATTGGACACACATTATCAGTATTGATAACTTCCCAGAGGGAGAACCGAAGCTGTAGTGAATACACTGCCCAAATGCTGGAATAAAAGCGATTGAAATTGATTTTTGATTTTTTTTATGACAAATATCGAGGCACCAAAATCAAAAAATAATAAGCAGCACTTCCAAATAAAAAAAAAGTCAAAAATATAATCTTTAATTGGAGTGCTCCTTTAAGCTGCTATTTTACGTTACTTTAGCTGTGCTGGAAGATGCGCATGTTCAACTGCAATCCTGAACGTATGTAAAGTAAGGAGCTAGCAGTGTCTATCAATTATATTCATATATAATGTTGCATATGTTGTATTAAAGCAGAAAAGACATTATAAATTACATATGCTCAGATAAACAGCATCTTATCTAAAATCTAAAATATGAATAACATGAATTATCCTCATTTATACAGGATATCTCTAAGCACGTCTGCATTTATTTTTGCTTTTTCTTAGCCTTACAGGTCTCTACAAACCATCCTGCAATATCTTTTGACCTTATTTTTTCCCTCTGGAGCATTCTGATCGATTAATTCCTTTCTCTCTCTTCCAAATCTTCTATAGACACAGCATTTCTGCAGAGTCTATAACGTGGTGCAACAAAAATAAATAAAAAATAAAAAATCAAGACAACGCTGAGAGAAATACTGAAAATGAACAAGAGAGAAAAAAATAATAATAATTAAAATGCAGCAGTTAAGATCAGTAATTTATTACAAACGTGCACAAACGTTTAAATGCCTTAAATATTAAACTATGTACAGATGCTATGATAACAGTTTCTTTTTAACGGGCTGACGTTCGACTTTCAACCGTAGCAATCTAGATTCATCAAATTACAAGATATACTTAATAAGAAAAGTATAGAGTTAAAATGTATAAATGTATGGATCTACAAACGTATACGGTATCAATCCTGCTTCATTCAGTCGTTTAACTTTTTTTTTTTTTAAGTAAGCTTTTATAAATTTTTTTTTTTTTTTTAGTTAATCCGTAAATGTTGTGCCATCGCCATTCGACTTGTTATTTTGATAATCAGCCTCTCCTCCTCCTTTGGTTTCTTGCATACATCTGAGCCTACCAGCTATTCGGGAAAAACACAGAAAAAAAATCTATGGAAACCTCTCGCGCGGGGGGTAAAGGTCGTCCCTGTGGTAACAGCTCTGTGATTAGCTAATGCAGTGCCGGGGCTTTTCTTTCTGTGGAAGTGCAGAGTGATTAATGAGCCATCCTTGTGAGGCAGAGGCTGCAGACTTTCTACAGCTAGAAGATCCAGTATTTCTACAATGCTGATGAACTTTTTTTTTTTTAGTTTCTCGCCAACACTTTTTTTTCCAGTCAGGCAAAACTAATCCAAGCCTTTTTCTTCGCGTTATAAAATGATATTTTTAAATATTATATACAGAGCTGAAGAGGCATAAAGGTGCTAGCATTTTTTAAATATAGCTGGCTTGTATAGTAGTTCCCTATTGAAGGTGTAGAAGTTCTGTGTACATTCTGTTCTAGAGGAAAAGGTTCTAGAGCTCTCGTATTCTAGGCGAGAAATTCTGGTGCTCTCATATTCTAAGGGCAAAGGTTCTGGTACTCTCATATTCCACCTGAAAAAGGTTCTAGAACTCTCCTATTCTAGGGGAGAAATTCTGGTGCTCTCATATTCCAGGGGCAAAGGTTCTGGTACTCTAATATTCCATCTGAAAAAGGTTCTAGAGCTCTCGTATTCTAGGCGAGAAATTCTGGTGCTCTCATATTCTAAGGGCAAAGGTTCTGGTACTCTCATATTCCACCTGAAAAAGGTTCTAGAACTCTCCTATTCTAGGGGAGAAATTCTGGTGCTCTCATATTCCAGGGGCAAAGGTTCTGGTACTCTAATATTCCATCTAAAAACGGTTCTAGTGCTCTCGTATTCTAGAGAGAAACATTCTAGTACTTTCTAATTCTAGCTGAAAAGGTTCTGGCACTTTCCTATTGTAGATGAAAAGGTTCTGGTACTCTCCTATTGTAGATGAAAAGGTTCTGGTATTCTCATATTCTAGAGAAATGTCCTTGTACTTTTTTATACTGGGAGTCAGGAGGTTCTGGTACTCTCCAATTCAATAGGCAAAGGTTTTGTCACTCTCCTATTCTATGGTAATAGGTACTGGTACTCTATTGCAGTTAAGGTTTACTGTAACGCTCTGATTCTATGAGAATGGTTGTGGTACGCTCCTATCCTAGTGCAAAATATTCTGGAACTCTCCTATTGTAATGGTAAATTTTCTGGAACTCTCCTATTGTAATGGTAAATGTTCTGGAACTCTCCTATTCCAGTCGAAAAGGTTCCAGTGCTGTCCTGTTCTAGAAGGAAAAAGTCTAGTACTTTTTAATTCTAGCTGAAAAGGTTTTAGTACTCTCCTATTCTGGGGAAATGTTCTTGTACTCTCCTATTCTGGAGAAATGTTCTTGTACTCTCCTATTCTGGGGGTACTGGTACTCTCCTATTCAAGGGGTAAATGTTTTTTTACTCTCCTATTCTAGGGTAAAAGGTTCTCTCTCAGTGGTGTACTAGGGGGGGGGGGCAGTCCGCCCCGGGTTCCACCAGGGTGGGGGGTGCCTGTAGAGAGCCTCAGGCGGCTGCAGCTTTGCCCGGGCGGTGCGTCCATGAGGGCGGACGGCACCGCCCGGGCGCAGCCTGAGGAGAGGGGCTGACAGGAGGGATGCGCTCAGCGCTCAGCGCTCCCTCCTGTCACTCCCTCACTGTAGCGTGGCCGAGCCCTGTATCATGGTCCGCGGGTACAGGGAGCAACTGTCTCCTGTACCCGGCCGGACTAACAGGAAGTGCACACTGAGTGTGCACTTCCTTTTAGTCCGGCCGGGTACAGGAAACAAAAGCTCCCTGTACCACATGAGGGCTCGCCACGCTACAGCTAAGGTAGGGGAAAGAGAAGATTAGGAGGGAGAAGATTAGGAGGAGGGGGGGAGAAAGAGAAATTGGGAAGAGGGGGGGAGAAAGAGAAATTGGAAGGAGGGGGGGGAGAAAGAGAAATTGGGAGGAGGAGAAGGAAATTGGAGCGGGAGGAGAGATTGACATTCATCACACACACACACAATGCAGAAAAACACACAATGCATTACACACACAGACACACATACATAAGCAATGCAACCGTTATACACAATGCATCCCTTACACACACAGAAACACACAATGCATTCATTACACACACTCAATGCACCCCTTACACACATTCAATGCATCCCGTACATACACAGAAACACACCTTGCAGCCCTTACACATACAAACACAATTTCACACAATGCATTCCTTACAGACATATCAGGACATCCCGTACACACTCCACAAACCACTCATTGGTGGAACATGAAGGTGGACCCTGGGACCTAGACCTTGAGCTGTGTAAAGGACCCCCAAAAAATGGAGGTGCTTCCTGTTCTCCCAGAACATTGATTTTTGTGACCACAGTTACAAACCGCCTCCAGAGAGCCTGTTCTGCACCAGACCAGTGGAGCCAGACTGCAGCTAGAGCCCATCATCATCCTCATCTGGTTGTTAGTAGGCAATCTAGTATATTATTCGTGGCACTAATCTCTAATTTACCTCACATTAAAGAAACACTATAGTCCTCAGAACCACTTCAGCTTAATGTAGTGGTTCTGGTGTCTATAGCCTGTCCCTGCAGGCCTTTTAATGTAAACACGGCGGCACTGCAGCACTGGCGTTAGTTAACATGGCAGATCATATGGGTGGGGCATTGTGATGTCACATGGGGGGGGGCAAACTTTACTTTTGCCTAGGGCAGCAAAAATCCTTGCACCGGCCCTGGCTGGAGGGGGCTGTGTGAGCTGTGGCCGCACAGTGCCCCATGGTAGTTAGGGTGCTGTGCGGCCAGTACAGCTCACACAAGCAAACAGCTGATAAACTGGCCGCACGGAGGAAAAGTGTATGTGTGACTGTCTGCCTGTGACTGTGTGTGACTGTCTGCCTGTGACTGTGTGTGACTGTCTGCCTGTAACTGAGTGTGTGACTGTCTGTCTGTAACTGAGTGTGTGACTGTCTGCCTGTAAATGTGTGTGTGGGGCTGCAGGGATTTTGTAGAAGGGGGCGGGGGTTTTGTATTGGGACAGGAGTCTTTATAAGGGGGGATAAGCAGGGGATTTGTGGAAGGGGGTTGCAGGGGTTTTGTAGACGGGGCAGTACAGGATTTGTAGAAGGGGCAGGACAGAGGTTTTGTAGGAGGGGCGGGGCAGGACAAGGGTTTTGTAGGAGGGGCTGACAGCGGTTTTGCAAAGTTTACAAATTGTAAAAAAAAAGAAAGAAAACCTTTAACATTTTTTACAGGTTTTTTTTTTTGGGTGGGGGGGTGGGAGTAATGTTCTCATACTCTCGTGTTCTAGTGAGATAATGTTCTCGTAATCTCCTGTTCTAGTGGGATAATGTTTTCGTACTCTCCTGTTCTAGTGAGATAATGTTTCGTTACTCTCCTGTCTAAGCGGGATAATGTTCTCATATTCTCCTGTTCTAGTGGGATAATGTTTTCATACTCTCCTGTTCTAGTGAGATAATGTACTCGTAATCTCCTGTTCTAGTGAGATAATATTCTCACACTCTCCTGTTCTAGTGGGATAATGTTTTCATACTCTCCTGTTCTAGTGAGATAATGTTTTGTTACTCTCCTATTCTAGTGGGATAATGTTCTTGTACTCTCCTGTTCTAGTGAGATAATGTTCTCGTAATCTCCTATTCTAGTGAGATAATGTTCTCATACTCTCCTGTTGTAGTGAGATAATGTTCTCGCACTCTCCTGTTCTAGTGAGACAATGTTCTCATACTCTCCTGTTCTAGTGAGATAATGTTCTCGTAATCTCCTGTTCTAGTGGGTTAATGTTCTCATACTCTCCTGTTCTAGTGGGATAATGTTCTTGTAATCTCCTGTTCTAGTGAGATAATGTTCTCATACTCTCTTGTTCTAGTGAGATAATGTTCTTGCACTCTCCTGTTCTAGTGAGATAATGTTCTCATACTCTCCTGTTCTAGTGGGATAATGTTTTCGTACTCTCCTGTTCTAGTGGGATGATGTTCTCGTAATCTCCTGTTCTAGTGGGATAATGTTTTCGTACTCTCCTGTTCTAGTGGGATGATGTTCTTGTATTCTCCTGTTCTAGTGAGATAATGTTCTCATACTCTCCTGTTCTAATGAGATAATGTTCTCGTAATCTCCTGTTCTAGTGAGATAATGTTCTCGCACTCTCCTGTTCTAGTGAGATAATGTTCTCATACTCTCCTGTTCTAGTGAGATAATGTTTCGTTACTCTCCTGTTCTAGTGAGATAGTGTTTTGTTACTCTCCTGTTTAAGCGGGATAATGTTCTCATACTCTCCTGTTCTAGTGGGATAATGTTCTCGCACTCTCCTGTTCTAGTGGGATAATGTTTTCATACTCTCCTGTTCTAGTGAGATAATCTTTCGATACTCTCCTGTTTAAGCGGGATAATGTTCTCATACTCTCCTGTTCTTGTAGGATAATGTTCTAGTACTCTCCTGTTCTAGTGGGATGATGTTCTTGTACTCTCCTGTTCTAGTGAGATAATGTTCTCATACTCTCCTGTTCTAGTGAGATAATGTTCTCGTAATCTCCTGTTCTAGTGAGATAATGTTCTCATACTCTCCTGTTCTAGTGAGATAATGTTCTCGTAATCTCCTGTTCTAGTGGGATAATGTTTTCGTACTCTCCAGTTCTAGTGGGATGATGTTTTTGTACTCTCCTGTTTAAGTGGGATAATGTTCTCGCACTCTCCTGTTCTAGTGGGATAATGTTTTCATACTCTCCTGTTCTAGTGAGATAATGTTTCGTTACTCTCCTGTTCTAGTGAGATAATGTTTCGTTACTCTCCTGTTTAAGCGGGATAATGTTCTCATACTCTCCTGTTCTAGTGGGATAATGTTCTCGCAGTCTCCTGTTCTAGTGGGATAATGTTTTCATACTCTCCTGTTCTAGTGAGATAATGTTTCAATACTCTCCTGTTTAAGCGGGATAATGTTCTCATACTCTCCTGTTCTAGTGGGATAATGTTCTCGTACTCTCCTGTTCTAGTGGGATAATGTTCTCGTACTCTCCTGTTCTAGTGAGATAATGTTATTGTACTCTCCTGTTCAAGCGGCATAATGTTCTTGTACTCTTCTGTTCTAGTTGGATAATATTCTCATACTCTCCTGTTCTAGTGAGATAATGTTCTCATATTCTCCTGTTCAAGTGGGATAATGTTTTGATACTCTCCTGCTCTAGTGAGATAATGTTCTTTTACTCTCCTGTTCTAGTGAGATAATGTTTCAATACTCTTCTGTTCTAGTGGGATAATGTTTCAATACTCTCCTGTTCTAGTGAGATAATGTTCTCGTAATCTCCTGTTCTAGTGAGATAATGTTTCAATACTCTCCTGTTCTAGTGAGATAATGTTCTCGTAATCTCCTGTTCTAGTGAGATAATGTTCTCATACTCTCCTGTTCTAGTGAGATAATGTTCGCATACTCTCCTGTTCTAGTGAGATAATGTTCTTGTACTCTCCTTTTCTAGTGAGATAATGTTTTGATACTCTCCTGTTCTAAAAAAAAAGGTTCTGGTTCTCTTGGGGATGATTCTAGAACTTTCCATTCTGTTATTTCTTTTCAGCTTATATGTTCTAGACTAAAAGTGTTTTGGCACTCTCCTAAACAAGGTGAAAATTATTCTGGTACTCACCTGTTGTAGTGGAAAATGGTGCTGGTACTACCTTGGGTAGGAGGAATCAGTTCTTGTAACTCTGTTTCTTGGGGGAGAGTGGTGTATTTTAATCGTAAAAGGTTGTGAAATGGTTTAAGAACAGGGGAAACATGTCTAGTTCCCTATGATTCTGGCAATGGCCTACTCTAGTAAAAATGGATCTAGAACACCACTTCTGCACATAGTGAAAGGTACAGTATACTTTTATTCAAGGGGAAAAGGTTCTGGTTTTCGTACCTTGAGAAAAATAAAGACCAAAAGTTCCCTAGTTTTAGACCACGTTTAGCAACAATTTCCTTTTTTTAATCGATTAAAAAAAAAAGAATAAAAACGAGTTTACACAATAACTTGATGCTACCATTTATTGAACAAGTATAATAGTTTTTTTGTAGCGTACAGGGCTCTTAAAGCCCTTTAACTTCATTCTTTACGTCTACAAAGCCACAGAGAATTGAAAAGATACAAGCTACGTCTATGGAGACGTATTGCGCGAGTCTACAAAAGATATAAGAAATTGCAAACAACTTTTTTTTTTTCATGCTTCATAATACGATTCTCCTGTACAACTGAAACTGGATGTAAAGGCTAGATTGTTATATTATTACCATATATCACCATGTTTCTTTTTTTTTTTCTTTGTATCACATCCGTGTCTGAATATCGCTGTTCACTAATAATTTAGAATAAAATACAGAGATGTGACTCCGTACAGATGTGCATTCATTAGTGTTTCCGGTAGAGCAAGTTGCTATTTATACACAGCATTTCTCTTTAAGTCACAGTGACTATAGCCCTTTTGCATGCTTTATCCTTCCTTGTCAACTCCCTTTTGAAGCCTGTAGCTTTAATCCACAAACTGTTTGCGACGCTGCTAAAATCTCCATCTAAAAACAGGGAACTTGCCAGAAAGGCATATCTTCTCTCTGTTTCTTTTCAAGTTTTCTTCTATTCATGTAAGAGAGTCTGCTTAAAGATAGAATGGAAAATGTCATATTTTCAAGTTAAGCTTATCTACCACAAGTCCTAGCAATCTCGCCCTGCATTCTGCATGCAAATGTACAGCGTGCATACATTTAATGGAACTTTATTGGATGCACCAATCTAGCACCATGTAGCCGAACCTTTGCCTCTAAAGGCGTTTGTGATGTAGATTTAATAAGGTGGAGGGAATATTCGCCACAGACTTTTTTTTCCATGCTGATTTAGCCTCACGCAGTTTTTTCCATATTTTTTGCCAGATGTTCATGCACCCATTGAAATAAACTGGAATCTCTGATATGTCCATGGGTCCAGCCAGAGACGAAGCATCGTCTGTGACTTGGTGTAATAGCCTGTTGGGTGTTTCCTTCAGAAATTATGTGGACTGTGGTCATAAAGGAATGCACATAGCGCCATCGCTTTGGCATTCTGTGGTTTTATAACAGGGGCAATGTCTGGGCCAGTAGAGATAAGGCAGCTGCATCAGCCAATGTATTACATGGAGCTCTGTAATTCATTCACACACTGCACATTACAATGGAGCTCTGTAATTCATTCACACACTGCACAGTACAATGGAGCTCTGTAATTCATTCACACACTGCACAGTACAATGGAGCTCTGAAATACACTTACACACTGCACTTTACTGTGGAGCTCTGTCATACATCATAAAAAAAATCTGAAAAGCAAACTGAGGCTAAATTAGTTAGTCTGAAACAATCTCTATCTCAGCTATATTGATATCCTGACCATGTTAGCCTCTGTTTTACAAATCAGATTTAACTTGTAGATTTCAGAGTATAGTGGATAACTCTAGCTATTATATAGGTGATTAAAATATTTTTTTAGGCCACAGCAGCAAAGCTGAAATAAAAGCGGATTGTGACTTAAAATGTAACGCTTTCATTGAATCTCTGTCAATAAACACATTAGCAAATTACCCTGACTGTCTTATATG